AGCCCCTCACTGGGGGATTCTAGGCAGGGGCTCTACCACTGAGCCACACTCCCATTCTGTTCTTTTATGTTAAGCCCCTAATCCTATCAAGGGGACCTAACCTCAGAACCTCATCTAATCCTATTTACCTCCCAAATATTAAGCATGTGCCACAGAGCTGTACCTTCTGTCCCTGAAGATAATCATTTTTTTTTTTGTTTTTTGTTTTTTTTAAGGTATCAGTTTTTTAAAACATCTCATTTTAAAAGTGTGGTAGATCACGTACACCTTGCCCAGATCTTAGTTTTACCCAATGAAATGTCTGCATGAACCATGTGGATATCACAGAACACTGCCACAGATGCAGTCCACATAGAGTATGTTGTTTATGGCTTTTTCTTTTTTTTTTTTTTCTTTTTTATATGAGTATACTGTAGCTGTCTTCAGACACACCAGAAGAGGGCATTGGATCCTTTTACAGATGGTTGTGAGCCACCATGTGGTTGCTGGGAATTGAACTCAGGACCTCTAGAAGAGCAGTCAGTGCTCTTAACCTTTGAGCCATCTCTCCAGCCTCCTTGTTTTGTTTTTTTTTTTGTTTTGTTTTGTTTTTTTTTGTTTTTTTTTGAGAGCCTTGCTTACTATGTTACCCAGGCTGGCCTTGAACTCCTAGGTTCAAGCCATTCTCCTGTCTGGACTTGAACACAGGGATATTGGACACATTACTGCAACTTTTTAAAACATGTCTATGGGCCAGGTGTGGCGGTGCATGCCTTTAATTCCAGAACTTGTGAGACAGAAGTTACAGGCTAGCAAATCACTGTGAGTTCCAAGCCTGACTGGGCTACAATGTGAGACCCTGCCTCAAACAAAAGAGAGAGAAAATGTCTGTTGCTGGTACTAAATTCTGATGTAATGGGCCTCTGAAGAGCCCTATAGTGTGAAACAAATACCCTTCCCCAGGAGAGGAGTTGCTAGGGCCATCTTTCTGTCAGTCAGACCTAGCACTCATAAACACTGGCATACCAGGCCTTGGAATTGAGTACTGGCTTGCTGCAGCTGAGTCAAGGGTGGGCCCAGAGTAAAATCTCAGACCAACCTTCTATGGAGTGCTAGCCCTGCTCCCTTCCCTGTTTTCTAGAAACTGGGGGTCCTGAGTAAGCCGGCCATGTGTCTTGTCTAGAAGGCAAGAACCCAGAACATGGAGAGCTTTTAGCCCTGCCTCTGTCCCAGGGGTGAGAGGTGACAGGAAGAGAGGTTGCAGCAGGAAGCACTGTCCCACGTGAGTGCTGCCTGCCGTCCAGCAGTGCACAGAACCCTGGCCTTTGGGTTAATAACTTTACCACTCTGTCTAGTGGGGATTGTAATAGCCACCCCATAGAGCTATACAGAAGATCCAGTGAGTAAGGGTCACTCACCATGGTGACAGCACCCAGCTCCATCTTCCTCCTTAGTTTGCAGCCTACCTGAAGACACATGTCTCCTAGGAATTGCTTGCTACCCTTTCTTCCTTTAGGAGGCATTCATTCTCTGCTGAGGACAGAGCTCTGCCCGTAGCCTTTGGGCTTCCTGGGGAGAGAAGCAGAGAAGAGGTTAGACTGAACGATGAAGTGTGTGGGCAAGGGCAGCATGACCAGAAGGCCTCTGCTACAGGAGAGCTGACATCCTGGGGCCCGTGAGAGGCAGTACCAGGCTACAGAAAAAGATAGGGCGGGCCTTGAGGGCCAGGCTTGGAGCCATGTAGACTTTATCCTGGGAAATAGAGACTGGATTCCCCGCCTCTCCCTGGGAAGGGCTCCAGAGGCTGCCTAAAGCTGGCAGCCCTGGAGCTTGATACCACACCCACACCCCAGTAGAGCTGTTTGGCAGATGGCCCAGCCTAGGCTTGCCTAGCCTGCTGCTGGTCAAGCACCTGCAGGGAGTAGCGGTTGTCTTTGCCCAGGCTCTGACTCACTCAGCCAGCTAGCTTTGGGGTGGGGGAGCATTCTGAGGACCAGCCCTAGGACTTCCTTTTCTATCTAATAGCACGGAAGCTATAGGGAACCCAATCTTAGGCTGGCTGTATAGGTAGGTCAGCAGGTGAGTGACAAAGGGGTGGGGGAGATGCAACCTATATGTACTTACTTATCTCATATAGGGGACCCACAATAGACCAAAGTTCAGATACCACCAAAGTCCAACATGGTAAAGCAGTGGGTTTTATTGGGGTTACTTACAGGAGTGTGGGTGAGGGATTACTTACAGTAAGAGCAGAAATAACTCAAATCAAGTCATACCACCAAAGCCCACTCTAGCATGGGTGACAGCTCACAAAGCTGGGGAGCCTGGAGTACACTGCACAGCATACAGGCAGCTCAGCAAGTTGGAGAGTGTCCTCTCCAAGTGACTCAGTTGATCTAAGCATCTTCCAGGCACCTCAGCTATTTTCCTTTTCTTCTAGGCAGCTGATTTGGTCTTGGTCCTCTTTGTAACTTGGCTATTCTAAAGGGCAGGAAGGGCTTAGTGAATCCAATCAGTTTCAGGGACTTTCTGAAAGCCATTTTGAGTTGTTTACCTCTCTGCTTAAAGACCTTCCCTGTAGGATGGAATGTTTCAATCTCGAGGAACCTGTTAAACAACAGAACATCAGGCATGTCCAGGTGTAGTTACAGTAACCAAGCAGAGGTTCAGAGAAGTCTGCTGCCCAGGGTCTCACTCCATAGCCCAGACTAGCCTGGTGTACAGCTCTCTTGCTTCTATCTCCCAAGTGCTGAGATTGCAGACATGCACCACCAGGCCCAGCTCTTGTCTTCTGAGCTCCTGGGATTTAGGTTTGGGGGAAGCAGGACAGAGCAGAGCAGGCAGAACTCCTTTAACTACTGTGTCCAAAGTTGCACGCCCACAACTGACTATTGGATATTTAAAAAGTGGTCCCTAATTTACTCTTACAGCTCTCTGAGACTCTGTTGCCAGTGTCCCCTCCGAGAGGAGAAACTGAGGCCAGATGAGATAACCCAGGCTCCCCTATCATCACTGGCTAAGCTGAGACTCGAGCTGTGTCTCCTATTCCCATTACCAAAGGAAACAGGAAAATTGGAGCCCCAGTCTCTCAAAAAAGCCCCAAGCAAAGCAAGCTGCTGATTGCCACCTATAGAGTCCCTCTTGTATACCAAGTCCTCGGTCCTTCCAGCAGACCCCCCACCTCACAGACCGGGACACTAAGGTGCAGAGTCCCGGCTGTTCTAAGACTGTAGCCTAGCCCACCAGCTGCACTGGGAACCTGAGAGCTGTGTGGTCAGCTGGACACCTGTTTGGTCTTAACGGGCTCGAGTTGTTTAGTGAGAGCACCTGCTTGGGCTAAAGCCACCCTGTGGGGCAGCTCTGCTATGGCTGGTGTGGGACGTAAAAACTGAGTCCTGGGTGACACAAGTCCAGGGTTGTCCTGCTAGTTGTGGTAGCCCCTGGGTGGTCTGACTCAGCCCGAGGTGCTGCAAGCCAACGAGATCACAGCGCCCTGGTGCCTCCTCTGGGATAGGTGGTTGGTCCTCCAGAGAGTGACACCTTCCTCCCTCCCTCTTCCTGGCCAGGTGGTGAAGGTGAAGCCTAATGACAAGGATGCCAAGATAAAGTACCAGGAGTGCAGCAAGATTGTGAAGCAGAAGGCCTTCGAGAGAGCCATTGCGGGCGACGAGCACAGACGCTCTGTCGTGGACTCTCTGGACATCGAAAGCATGAGTGAGTAGGCCGAGCTGTATACCCCCACACACTCATCCCTCCTACACCTGATGGGTAAAGCCAAGGTTTCAGAGGACATCTGAGAATGTAGGTGTCCCCTACAACTGCTGTCTTCCTTAGCCCTCTCTCTCATCTCAGTATTCTCCATCTTCCCATCCCTCTCTCTCATCTCAGAATTCTCCATCTTCCCATCCCTCTCTCTCATCTCCGTATTCTCCATCTTCCCATCCCTCTCTCTCATCTCCGTATTCTCCATCTTCCCATCCCTCTCTCTCATCTCCGTATTCTCCATCTTCCCATCCCTCTCTCTCATCTC